TCAATGAATAAGCTATGTGACAACCACAATAGAATTCCTACAAATAATATTTTGAACTTCCTAAATTGCATTTAATGCCTTAAAGAAGATTGTATACTTTAAGACCCTGATTTTTTTTTTCCTTTAACATAGAAGACTTCAATTAACATGAACATTGTACTTAAACACAATGTCAAAATCATCAAACCTAAAGGAACCTGAAACCGCCTTTCACGAAGAAATACAACATTCAAAATTGACACTTTTTAGCCTTGGCAGGAAGTACATGTAATCAATTGTGGTTTAGCATGAAGAAAAATACAGTTTACTCAAATTCTCAGAGAATGATTTAACTGCATTTCCACTGGGGAAGTACTTTCCCCATGGTTAGGACATGGCAGCTGGGTAGTACAGGAGATTACAAATTAGAACTCTCAACTTAAGTGTTTAGCAAATCCATATAACAATGACAACACAACAATAACATAAATAAATGGTTATTCTAAACTAAAATAAAAACAGAACTGATAAGTTAACTGGTGTCTTCATATCAATCTTAGGAAAAAGCTTTAGTGATGATGACTGTGCTAAGCTGGGGCTTAGAATGTTCCCATCATTTGATGGGCTGGTAGCTTTGAATTATTTTTCAGTGACGGAAACTGGTTTGTGTATCCTTTTTGCAATCAGATGGGCTGGGAACGCAACAGTATTACATGGTGTAATCAGAGATGAAATTCATGCTCCTAGCAGAATTTTCTAAAAGTCAAACAGCACACTCATAAGTATTTATATATGTGACTTCATTTCAGCAGAGATAAATAAACAAGCACAGAAACAAAAACGGGTACAGACTGTCATATGCCATAGAGTTGCAATAGCATATTGCATGACTACATGACTGTATGACTACACATGTTCAGCAAACACAAGAGAATGACAAAGGAGGGAGCTCGAGAGAAGGAGAAGGGAGAGAGAGCAACGTGGATAGCATGACAATTCCACCACATGGCCTCTGTGACATTCAGTGAACACATGCTCCCGGGACAAGAGGGAGGTGCCTTCTTGCAGCCATGGTGCATTCCCTCGGCCTCTGGTGGGGTGAGTCTCTCACTGTGTAAATGTGACCCCAGAGTTTCAGAGTACACGTGATTTCACACCACGTGGCCCCTCAACACCAACAGGCACTCCCCATGGTTCCGTCAAAGAACAGTGATTTGTTCTATTGCTAGGGGAGAAAACAAAAATAAAACTGGCAGATTTGGTAAAATGCTGCAATTTGTGAGAGATTTATGTGACTTTCAAGAGTAATTTTGTTCACATCAAATTGTCACCTTTGGGGTTGACATGAGAACCTGATTCCTTTGCAAAATGAATGTGATTGCACTGTATACCCCATATAACTATGGACAGTCAATATTTATCAAATTCTAACCTTTCTTCTTTCTTTTCTTAAAGCTGTTTTGTAGCTGTTGCTAACATGATGGTTTGTCAAGCAGTAGTATATTTTATTGGGCTGTATGTCTAAATGCTAGCAAATAGCCTTTCTATAGGTAATGGTTCACACAACAAAAATACGCACATGAAATGAAATAATATATGTGCATATATGAGTGCATCCACATGCATGCGTGTGCGTGTGTGTGCATGTGCGTGTGCATATGTGTGCATGCATATGCGTGTGTGCGTGTGTGTGTGGTGGGTGTGGGTATATATGCATTGTTGTGTATTCTCCCTAGTGAAGAAAATCCTGAAAGGCAAAATACTTATTACTATTTTTTCTCTCATTTTTAAAATATTAAGTTCCGGGGCGCCTGGGTGGTTCAGTCAGTGAAGTGTCTGCCTTTGGCTCAGGTAATGATCCCAGGGTCCTGGGATTGAGCCCTGTGTCGGGCTCCAGGGAGCCCACTTCTCCCTCTCCTCCTTGCTCCTGCTCTCTCACTGTCATTGTTGCTATTTCTGTCACTCTGTCTCTCTGTCTCAAATAAATAAATCTTTTAAAAAAATAAATAAAATAAAATATTAAGTTCCATGGCACTAGAAGACATGTAAGTATATTCCTGCAGATCTGACATTCTTTGCCGAAGCAAAAAATAAAATAAAATAAAATAGCTCTGCCATAGAATGTTAACTGAACAACCTGATCATGGGATATGTCACAGTTAGTCTATAAAGTTATAGGTTTATTTTAATTTTTATTTTTTCCCAGAACATTTCTTCAATAACTGCAATTGTTTACCTGATTTAGAACTTAAAACTCTTTTTACTCTTCTAAATGTTTAAGTAATTTCAGACTTGACATTTCTCTGTCTTTCTCTGTCTCTGTTGTTTTCTCTCCATGAGAAGGCACAGGGAAAGGCCATATGAGCACACACCGAAAAAGTGGCCTTCTGCAAGCCAAGAAAACCTTTCCAGAATCTGACCATCTTGGCACCTTGATCTCGGACTTCCAGCCTCCAGAACTGTAAGAAAATAAGTTTCTGTTGTTTAAGCCACCCAGTCTATGATAGTTTGTCATGGCAGCGAGAGCAGATTAAGACAATGTATATTTACAAAAAAATACACAAGAAAAACTTGAAAGAATTAAATCTTAGTAGCTTGTGGTAAGATTAACTGCTAACAAAAGAAAACTAGTGAGTGAAAAATAGTTCAGCCTCTGTCCCTCACTCTGCAGCACACCACCTCTTCCTTGAAGAATGAATCAAACTGTGGTGCTTACAAGAGAATCAGCGCTCTAAGTCCGAGAATGCAGAGGATCTAGTGTAGATCATTTTTTAGCTCCAGGATAAATTCCAGGAGCCTAAATCTGTTTTTAGAAAGCAATTTCTTAAAGTACCTCAAAAAGAGCCTGGAGTTTTCACAAAGGGTTGTTCTCACTGCCTGGACTTCATGGGTAACCTTTATTCATCCTTCAGCTCCTCTACAAAGGCTTCCCTTTCATCCCCAATCTGGATATTTCCCTTCCATGAGTTCCCACATCGCTGGGAATAACCTTTATTTCATGTGGGCCACATGCTTACTACTCTTCAGTCTTTGACACGGTAACACATTGTGAAAATGGGCTCCCTGTAACACCCCAGACTAATTGCATATACTGAATATTCAAAGATTTGTTGAATAAATGTCAATAAATGAAGGAATGTATGCATGAACAAAACATCAGTCTTTGGGGACTACTAGAATTGGCCCCAGAGGCCTCAAGGCTCCCCAGAGTAGAGTGCAAAAATCCTAAAACATTTCATGTTCCTGAACACCAGGGCAAAGACTTCAATGCAAATTCTCCCACCTAATGCTAACCCTCTAAGTTTTTAGTAGTTTAAGGCTAAACTGAACTTCAGAAACTCAATATTGAGCAAAGAAAACTTCCATTTGTCTCACTGGATGTTACTCTTAATTATAATTTGAGTTAAAAATAAAGAAACATTTCTTCTTAAAACTCAAGAGTTTATGTGGGAAGAAAACAAAGGTATTAAATAAAGTGCAATGGTTATGAATATGTTTAAAACAGTCACCAAAAGAGCACACCTGGGGGAACTGTAACAGTAATAATTTTATAAATGTGCAGTTCTTTTCCTGAGGAAACACTAAATATCCTATTGCTTGATTCATTTGAAATTAAATTGTCCAGGGCGCCTGGGTGGCTCAGATGGTTAAGTGTCTGCCTTCGGCTCAGGTCATGATCCCAGGGTCCTGGGATCGAGTCCCGCATCGGGCTCCCTGCTCCTTGGGCACCTGCTTCTCCCTCTGCTTCTCTCTCTCTCTCTCTCTCTCTCTCCCTCTGTTTCTCATGAATAAATAAATAAAATCTTAAAAAAAAAAGAAATTAAATTGTCCAAAACATCAGAGAATAGACAATACTAGAAAAAGTATGTATATGTGGGGATGGAACAGGAATATCAATGTACATTTTATATTTTAAGCTTCAATATTTCCTTCATCATTTGGTGAGAAATCAAAATGATTTAATAGGATGAATCATTTTTTTAAAAAGCCCTCTTAAGGGCCACCTGGGTGGCTCAGTCGGTTAAACGTCTGCCTTCGGCTCAGGTCATGATCCTGGAGTCCCAGGATCAAGTCCGGCATCCTGCTCCCGGCTCAGCAGGGGGTCTGCTTCTCCCTCTGCCCCTCATCCTGCTTGTGTTCTCTCTATCTCTCACTCTCTCTTTCTAATAAATAAATAAAATCTTTAAAAAAGAAAAAAAGCCCTCTTAAGTATTTATTTTGTTTTTGTTGTATGTTGAATGCCTCACACTCTAGAGAGAATCTGCTCACTCTTTAGGGGGTTTTAAATTAGGGAGAAAAGTACATACTTTTTCATAATTTTAGTACATACTTAGATGTGTCCTCCACCACCACATCACTATTTGAGGGATAAAGGGGAAAAAAAAATCATTGGAATTCCCAATGCTGATAACCTGAGTAGAAACAAAAATCAAATCAAAACAAATACTTTACCATCAATGGGATTAAGAGAGAAATGACAGATACATGGCAACCATACAGATACTCTTCAAGCTTACAGCAGACATTATTAATTAATCACAGTTCTCTTTCCTGTGGAACCTAAAATCACCCCCAGATGCCTTCTCAATACAACACTGTAGACAGTCACAACCCATCAATCATATATGAAAAGGAGAGGAAGACTCTTTGTTACTTCAGTTCTATAAACAAACCAAGAACTGAAGCTATCCCTCTAATATAAAAGAGAAATTCAGGTGCTCTACAAAAGAGAATGACATTTGAAATGGGAAAAGAAGAGAAAGTCAACTTCTACCCCGTTTCCTTTTTTTTTTAAATTGAGATACAATTGACATAACGTTATATTTAGTTTTACGTGTACAATGTAATGATTCAATATTTGTATATGTTGCAAAATGATCACCACAGTAAGTCCAGTCCATCAGCACGCACAATTACAAAATTTTTTCTTGTAATGAGAAATATCAGAATCCACTCTCCTAGCTATTTTCAAATATGCAATGCTGTATTATTAACTATAGTCACTGTGCTGTAGATTACTGAAAAATATGGAGCACATTATGAGCCTGTATGTCTATCTTTGCACAGGGACCATGTTAGCTTCTCTGTATTCCTTCAATTTTAGTATATGTACTGCAGAGGCAAACACTGAAGTCAACTTTTCTTAATGGAAGGAAATAATAGCTCACTGAGAGCTTTAAGACAGCAACTACCATTGTGTCATATGGCCACAAAGAACAAAGAAAACAGATCTTAAGTAGGGAAAAGGTAATAGGAGTTGGATGTTCCTATTTTATAGTAATCCAACTTATGACTAGATCCCTAAAAATAGGATCAGAAAGCTGAATTTATAAACATCTCAATTTTCAAGCTTTTGTGTGTCCCTTCCCTCCCTCACTCATTGCTCATTAGTAAAACTTTGTTTCGAAAAGCTGTCTCAAGGAACCATGAAGTTGTCCACACCTAAATCTGAAAAGTAATGGGATTATAATACCCAAATGATGGGAGAGCAATGGCAGCAACGAAGGAGGGCTTTTGTACACAGTGGAAAGAGCAGGGAAAGCCAAGCTGAAGCAAGGGGAATGTTGAGCAAGACAGTCGGTTGCGGGGGCAGGGTACCTTTTCAGCTGGGTCCTCTCCACAACAGGGAAACAACCGCAGGGTTTATCATTTGTAGAGCTCCTCCATCTCTGTCCCCTGATGATCACCTTTTTAAGCTTAGATAAAAGCTTGTATGAAATACTACTTTTAACGTCAGATTCCTTTAGTGAGTCCAACCCAGGAAAATCAGATATGTTGTCGATTACATTATCATTTCAAGGCTCTCTGAGGGGTCAGCTTTTTATTCAACCCCACTTCAAAGAAAATACAAGTAGGGAGCTTTGGCTGAGATAGTCATTTGTCTACAATGAAGTCTCAGGTTTTCTTCAAACGCAAGCCTTGAGGTACTTAATGATTTCCAATAAGGACTGCTGCTTCTTTGTCAATTAATCCTGTGTGGTGAACATCATCAGCCTTGCTTTATAAGCTCTGGAAAATTACTAGGTACTCTGAGTATATAAATCTTGTCCTAATCACTGAACCACAGTTGCTCTCCCAGTGGTTTATTATATTGAGGTACTGACAATAGAATGTTTTCATTAGAATTTGAACAAAATGGAGGGATGTCAAAGCGAAAAAAAATTTAACTGCTATTCTACTTTATTCAGCATCATTCACATTATGATGGACTTTGATGTGTTAAACTTTGATCTTGGATGAGGTATCATTATGCTCATATAATCTGAACACACTTTAGTTCTTCAAAATATCAAATTAATTTACACTCTAGTTTTAGATAAGCTGAATTGAAACTTAGCTTTACTTGCCCCTGAATATATTTAATTAGCAGTTCAGTGAAAGATAACTAAATCCTAAACTTAAAAAAAAAACCACATTTTTTTAAAATAGGAAGCTTGCCAGGATATATGTTATCTGGAACTCCCCGAAGCCTATCTTTACGGAGCTGTCCTTCCCTTGGGCCATGTTGTTTTCAGTTCAAGGCCACAGGGTAGGCCTGGATGCGATTATGCAGAGTTCCTGAGCTCCCCCCACCCACAAACAATGACCAGCCTAGGGAGTGGGCATGTGACTGAAGCAGTTCCAACTGGAGTCCTTCCTCAGTACTGTTGTAGAGACACTGGAAGGATGATGAAATTACCTTCTGTGGATTCCAAGTTGAGCCAATAAATATGTATGTTGAACACAATGGAAAGCCAGATTTCTCACTGATGGTAGAGAGAGTTACGAATACGGAAATGGGAAGAAAAGAATGTATCCTGTGGTTTGAGATTAGAATTAGAGGTATCAGTATGGACTCATAGTTTTTATTTTATTTTTTAATAAAAATTGTATATATTTAAGGTGTACAATATGATGATTTGTGCACATATACATAAAAATGATAACTATAGTCAAGCTAATTAACATATCAGCTCAACAGTTACCTTTTTTTGTGTGTGATGAAAGCATCTAAAATCTACTCTCAGCAAATTTCTAGTATCCCATAAAGTATTGTTAATTATAGTCATCAGGCTATACATTAGAACTCTATATGTATTCATCCCAAATCTTTGACAAAGCAGGAAAGAATGTCCAATGGAAAAAAGACAGTCTCTTCAACAAATGGTGTTGGGAAAATTGGACAGCCCCATGCAGAAGAATGAAACCGGACCATTTCCTTACACCACACACAAAAATAGACTCAAAATGGTTGAAAGACCTAAATGTGAGACAGGAGTCCATCAAAATCCTAAAGGAGAACACAGGCAGCAACCTCTTCAACCTCAACTGCAGCAACTTCTTCCTAGAAACATTGCCAAAGGCAAGGGAAGCAAGGACAAAAATGAACTATTGGGACTTCATCAAGCTAAAAAGCTTCTGGACAACAAAGGAAACAGTCAACAAAACCAAAAGACAACTGACAGAATGGGAGAAGATATTTGCAAATGACATATCAGATAAAGGGCTAGTATCCAAAATCTATAAAGAACTTACCGAACTCAACACCCAAGGAACAAATAATCCCATCAAGAAATGGGCAGAAGACATGAACAGACATTTTTCAAAGAAGACATCCAAATGGCCAACAGACACATGAAAAAGTGCTCAACATCGCTCGGCATCAGGGAAATCCAAATCAAAACCTCAATGAGATATTACCTCACACCAGTCAGAATGGCTAAAATTAACAAGTCAGGAAACAACAGATGTTGGCGGGGATGCGGAGAAAGGGGAACCCTCTTACGCTATTGGTGGGAATGCAAGCTGGTGCAACCACTCTTGAAAACATTATGGAGGTTCCTCAAAAAGTTGAAAATAGAGCTACCCTATGACCCAGCAATTGCACTACTGGGTATTTACCCCAAAGATACAAACATAGGGATCTGAAGGGGTACGTGCACCCCAATGTTTATAGCAGCAATGTCCACAATAGCCAAACCATGGAAAGAGCCAAGATGTCCATCGACAGATGAATATATAAAGAAGATGTGGTATATATGTATATATGTATACACACACACACACACACACACACACACACACACACACACACCCAGAGGAATATTATGCAGCCTTCAAAAGGAATGAAATCTTGCCATTTGCAACAACGTGGATGGAACTAGAGGGCATTATGCTGAGTGAAATAAGTCAATCAGAGAAAGACAAGTATCATATGATCTCACTGATATGAGGAATTCTTAATCTCAGGAAACAAACTGAGGGTTGCTGGAGTGGTGGGGGGTGGGAGGGATGGGGCGGCTGGGTGATAGACATTGGGGAGGGTATGTGCTATGGTGAACACTGTGGAATTGTGTAAGACTGTTGAATCACAGACCTATACCTCTGAAACAAATACATTATATGTTAAAAAAAGAAAAGATAGTAGGAAGGGAAAAATGAAGGAGGGCGGAAATTGGAGGGGAAGATGAACCATGAGGGACTATGGACTCAGAAACAAACTGAGGGTTCTAGAGGGGAGGGGGGTGGGGGCATGGGTTAGCCTGGTGATGGGTATTAAAGAGGGCACATACTGCATGGAGCACTGGGTGTTATACGCAAACAATGAATCATGGAACAACACATCAAAAAGTAATGATGTAATGTATGGCGATTAACATAACATAATGGCTCAGATGGTTAAGCGTCTGCCTTCGGCTCAGGTCATGATCCCAGCATCCTGGGATCGAGTCCCGCATCGGGCTCCCTGCTCCTTGGGAGCCTGCTTCTCCCTCTGCCTCTCTCTCTCTCTCTCTCTCTGTCTCTCATGAATAAATAAAAATCTTTAAAAAAAATAAAAAAAAGATCTATTCATCCTATATAAGTGCAACTCTGTACCCTTTGACCAACATCTCATGGTTTTAAATACAGAGATGCAAAGATATAGAAACAAATAGAGACATACGTTTACTGCTGTCTGCTGAGAGGGCCTAGAAGTAATAATACACCAGTAGCAAGGAATAAGTGTATCTACTGTCCAGATCTTGACTTCAAATACCATTTCTTTGAAATGGAGTCGTGGCTACTTGGATAAAAAGTTGATTCCAGGACTTGGTCAAAAAAGAACAAGATGATCCTAAAATAATATGTGCCAGAAAGTAAGGAAATACTCAGGTATGATGGGAAAATAGCAAAAGGACACAGGAGCTAGTTTAAAATCACTGGCCAAAGATAGGACAATTTAAGCATCTGAATGAACAATACTAACAGATGGCACCTGTAGAATAAAACAAGAATACATGGGGACACCCGGGTGGATCAGTCAGTTAAGTGTCTGCCTTGGGCTCAGGTCATGATCCCGGGGTCCTGGGATCCAGTCCCACGGTGGGCTCCTTGCTCAGTGGGGAATCTGCTTCTCCCTCCCCCTCTCCCTCTGTCTTTCCTCCCTGCTTGTGCTCTCTCTCTCTCTCAAATAAATAAAATCTTAAAAAAAATACATGAGTTCTATAGATATAATAGATAGATGAATAGACAGATAAACAAATAGAAGTGAGAAATCTCTTTTTTTTTAGTAGAATGTCAATAAATATGAAAGCAATAATAAAGTTGCAAATTATCAATGGATACAGAAATCAGTGGGAAAAGGTTTGTTGGGGACAAGGTATTTATATAATCTCAGAGAATCTCCCACAAATTAGTCATTATTTAGAAAGGGTAAAACAGTAACTTTCCTGCAGAGAACACTGGAAGACCCAAAGTGATCAAAGTTTTCATCAACAGTGTTAGAATAAGCTGACATCATGCACCTCCTGTAATGATGCTCAGAGAAGGACACATTATTTATCATTTCTGTCATACTCCTGCCAAAAATGCAAAACCTGATACTAATCATGAGGAAACATTACACAAGCCCAAACTGAAGGACATTCTACAAAATAATCAGTCTGTATTCTTCAAAAATCTCAAGGTACCAAAAAAAAAAAAAAAAAAAAGACAGAAAAGGTAAGAGATTGTTCTACATTCTCCAGAATAGATCACATACTGGATATTTTTTCTGGCTCAGGATTCAAGCCAGGATCAAGCCTTGTGTTTAGTTGTCACTCATGTCTCTTTAATGTACTTTCATTTGGAACAATCTCTTACCTTTTTCTTTTCTTTTTTTTTTAAGTT